TGCTTCTCCCTCTGACCCTCTCATGCTCTATCTCATTCTCTGTCTCAAATAAATAAATAAAATCTTAAAAAAAAAAAAAGTAATCTATGAAAAACTTACAGCTATTATTATACTTATGAAATATTGAACATTTTCCCCTAAGATCAGGAACAGAGCAAAGATGTTCATTTTCATCATTTCTATTCATCACTGTAAAGCAATGAGGCAAAAAAAAAAAAAAAGATAAAGTTTAGAAATCAAGTAAGACGTCCTTTTGTTATTGACAGGATTGTACACAGAAAATCCAAAATAATCCACAAACTATTTGAATAATTCAAGTAATAATAATTTAATTTATAAATGTCACTGGATAAAAAGATCAATGTACAAAAAGAAATTGCAATTCATGCTAGCTAAAAAATTAAACAGGAAATAAATAAAAATATTTACAAAGCAAAACATACCACATACCTAGAAATAAATTAAACAAAGATATTCAAGTCTTCTACAATTAAACTACAAAACACTGTTGAGAGAAATTAAAGACAACCTAGGTAAATGGATGATTATGTTTCATTGGAAGACTCAATCTTGCAAAGATGTCAATTTCATTCAGGTAATGGCATCGTCAATGCAATTCCAAGCACACTCTCAGCATATTTGTGAAAATTGATAAGGATGTTCTAAAAATAATATAGAAACAAATGAGGAATAGAGAAGGCAGGACAACCTTAAATAAAAATGCAATCTAAAGATATGTTAACAGATGGCATCTAACCTTTCTGAAAGGATTTTTAGAACTACTCAGCCCCTGCTGAGCTACCAGACTTCAGTTCCCTCCTGTTGTAAGACCCTAGTAAGCACAACATGCCAGCTGACAATATTACCCGACTTGCCCCCTGCTGCCTCCTCCCCTCTCCGCACACATCTCACTCTGATTCATTTGGTGCAAACTCTACTCTGGTTTCTGGATGAGCACAGGAGCCAGTCCTAAACAAATCAGAGTATTACATTCCTTTGGCCACAGTGATTAGATAACTATTGGCAAGTGAGCCAATCAGATTCTATTATAATGATCATATTGGGAGTTGTTCAAAAAGACTATCGCTCTTTTCTCCCTGAGATTTCAACCTAGAAAGAAAGCAGCCTGGATCTTCTGGGAACTACGGTAGAGAGAAATAGCCTGCCAGGAAGAATGTAGCTAAATGTAAGAAGATGCGCAGCCAAGATACGGACACTGAACTCATCCAGATAACAGCTTTTTAGCCCCAGGATCCCAGCCATCCCCAAAGGACTTCTTCAATAATCAAACCAATAAATTCCCTTTATAGCTTATACGTATGAGAAGAGTGAAAAGACAAGCCAGACACGGGGAAAAGTTATCTGCAATATATACATATATATAATCTACGTAAGTTATGAATATATGATATATAACACATGGTTTTACATATGTGTATGTAACTAGACATAGAGATACACATACATACAATAGAAGACAAGTAACTAGAAGGAAACCCTTCAAATAAAAAAGGAACCAAAAATGGGTGAAATGCTTCAACAGGGTGCCCTCATAAAAGATATCCAAATAGCCAATAAGCACATAAAAAAGCATTTACCATCACTACATATCAGGTAACTGCAAACTAAAACTAAAGCAGGATATTACCATGTCCTCTGCTGGATGCCTAAGATTAGAAAGGGCTGGCCAACTAGGTGGAACAATTGGAATTTGCATGCATTGCTTTTAGGATGATAGGTGAAATCCACCTTTTTGAAAAACTGGAATACCTATTAAAACTAAAGCTAAAGTCTACCTATGAGTCAGTGATCTCATTCCTACAAACAAAACATATACCAAGAGAAATAAGTGTAAGTCAGTAAAAAGAGTGATTAAAAGGCAAACTAGACATCATGCTGAGAAAAGAAGCCAAACATATAATTGTACATATTGTATTTAAGCACTTACATAAAGATCAAGAAGATCAAGAAGAAGCAAACCTAATACACTGAATAAAAGTCAAACTGTGGTTTCCTCTGTGGAGCAATTATTGAGAAGGCAGATAAATAAACTTTCTGGAATCCTGGGAATGTTCTGTTTACCGGGGTATGTACATAAGTGAAATTTCATCAAGCTATACACTTAAGATTAGCACATGTCGTGCACAGTAGCGTATATATGCTTTACTAAAACAGCAGAAAATGAGGTCTACTTTCAGAAATAAACGGGAAATATAATGGAAGGGAAAAGTGTAGCTAGATGTACCTGAAGAAGCACAAACCAAAGAACCTTCATCTTTCCCAAATAAAAAAGCAGAAAAATCTGAAGGTGTCAAATATAAATCTTCCTCCACTAAAATAGGATGATGCCCTGTCTGATGCTTACCTCGCTTATACCTAATTTCCCTTACTGTCCACAGCCCTTCTTGCTGGAGATGCCAGTGGATTTGCACAGATGTCTTTCCCCTTGAGCAAAGTGACGTGACGGGATTGCACTACACAAATAACAACCCTGCTCCAAAATGGGGCCACCTCTATAGAGCCAGTTGATGTGCTAGAGGGACTGTCAGATCAGCAAAAGGACAATGCTGGAACTTGCCAGAAAACCTAAGAAGCTGTGTATGACTGTGATGGAGGAACTTATGGAAAGGTCTATGGAGCTGCTGCCTCTGACTTTACTGAAGTAGAAGCATTTAATGTTCTGTTTCAAGCTAGTGTTGATTGGTGGGTCCGATCATCAGGAAAATGAGCCGGACACTGAAGCTCACCAGGCCCCTATGTATCTGTCTCCATCCTATGGCCCCACTAAACAAAGAATAATAGCTTCTTCCCGCTGCCTTCCAATTCTCATGCAAACTCTGTTTCAGACAACTCTAACCTGGGACTGGATAAGGAAATGATTCTGAGAAATGGAGTCCCAACCATGTCCAAATTAACACACACAAGCCAGCTCAACCAACTTTACTTCTAGCTTTCTTGTCACAAGGTCCCTTTTTAAACTCAAAACACTGGGTCCAATTCCTAGCCATGAGCAAGGACAGAGAAAATACAAAAACAACGTATTAGATGCGACTCTTCTTTTGAGAACTTGCCCTTATTAATTTCTGTTGAAATGGATTATTAGACAGAAAAAGCTTTTAATAATAAAAACTGATAACCTCAAAAACTTTAGGTTCTTTTAGTTAAAAAAAGAAAAAAAAGGGAAAAAAAATTAGGTAGGCAATTTCCAGTATCTGCCATACTAGAAATGACCAATTACAAGAAAAAAATTACAAAAGAAATTACAAATACCAAAGTGTTGATACCATAACAGGTGTGATACTGCACACCTGGAGAACAGTGAGTATTAATTAGATACTAATTAAAAAAAAAAAAAAGACCACTCCTGCCTGCATTTGAAAAACACCTTGAATCCCCTATGGGTCCAAAAGATTTTGTAACGTAAAGAACATTTACATCTTGGCCGAAATAAAAGTACCTATAATAAAATGTGGTTAGAGCTGAAAAAGTATTAGAGGAAAATTCATCACCTTAAATATTCATATCAGAAAACAGAAACCAATTATCAATGAGCCAGCAGTCCACTTTACAGGTGAGGCCCTGATCCGTGCTTCTCGTGTGAATTTTCTTGCACGCCGGAAGTGACATTCACGAAGGCATTCCCACAAGGTGTACGGACACAGGTTTCTCTCAGCTGTGAGTTCTCAAGTCGTCAAACAGATACGCAACACTTTCTTGCCTTCTTATATTCATGGCGCATCTCCACAACGTTCCAGATATGCTGTGAGGTGAAAACGCCTTGCAGACGTTCCCACATTTCACACCATTTATACATTTTCCCTAGTGTGAGTTTTCACATGTCTTCGAAAGTAGGCAGGACACACAAAGGCTTTTCCACATTCCTTACATTCATATGGTTTCTCTCCAGTGTGGCTTCTTACATGTCTTCGAAAGGATGAGGGACAACTGAAGGCTTTCCCACATTCCAGACATTCGAAGGGTTTCTCGCCAGTGTGCATCCTTGCATGGACAGTAAGGTATGAAGAATGGCGAAAGGCTTTCCCACATTCCTTACATTCATAGGGTTTCTCCCCAGTATGTGTTCTCATGTGGATCCTCAGAGCTGAGGGATAAATAAAGGCTTTGCCACATTTCTTACATTCATAAGGTTTCTCTCCAGTGTGAGTTCTTATATGTACTGTAAGGTGGGAGGAACTAATAAAGGCTTTCCCACATTCTTTACATTCATAAGGCTTCTCTCCAGTATGAGTTCTTAAGTGTTCAGTGAGGGATGAGGAACGGCTAAAGGCCTTCCCACATTCCTTACATTCATATTGTATCTTTCCAGTGTGATCTCTCACGTGTGCTCTGAAGGATGAGGGACAACTAAAGGCTTTTCCACATTCCTTACATTCATAGGGTTTCTCTCTACTTTGATTTTTCACGTGCGTATTAAGGGAAGTGGGAAGATAGAAGGCTTTTCCACATTCCAGGCATTCATAGGGTTTCTCTCCAGTGTGTTTTCTCATATGGATACTTAAGGAGGAGGGACAATTGTAGGCTTTCCCACATTCCTTACATTTATAGGGTTTCTCTCCTGTGTGTGTTCTGACGTGTACAGTGAGTTTTGAGGACTCGCTGAAGGCCTTCCCACACTCTTTACATTCGTAAGGCTTCTCTCCAGTATGAATTCTTATATGTATTATAAGGTGAGAGGAAGAACTAAAGGCCTTCCCACATTCCTTACATTCATATGGCTTATCTCCACTGTGAATTCTTTTGTGTTTGGAGAGTGAGGAAGAACAGCTAAACGCCTTCCCACATTCCCTACATTCATAAGGCTTATCTCCACTGTGAATCCTTTTGTGTTCTGTCAGGGATGAAGAACAGCTAAAGGTTTTTCCACATTCCTTACATTCATAGCTCATCTTTCCAGTGTGAATCTTCATATGTGCCCTAAAGAAGGAAGAACAACCGAAGGTTTTTGTACATTCTTTACATTCGTAAGGTTTCCCTTCAGTGGGATTTTTCACATGCTTCTTAAAACAAGCAAGAAAATGGAAAGCTTTCCCACATTCTTTACATTGATAGGGTTTGCTTCCAGTGTGAGACCTGATGTGATTCTTAAGGGATAAATGATCCGTGAAGGCCTTTTTACACTCATGGCATTCATAGGACTTCACTTCAGTAGTTCTCTTGAGTATATTAAGATGTGAAATTTGGCTGCAGTCTTGTCCACACTGATTTTCTTCATTACATTCATAGATGGTCTCCACAACTGGACTTCTTTTAAAAATAAAAGCACATTATTAGTAATAAATATACTTTTACCATTTTCAGTGATTACATTTTCTGCCCTGTCAAGTTACAAGTTCAAAGTCCTCACAGAAGGGTCTACAATAGCCAATATTATCACTGAGGTTTTTTTGACATACAATTTTTCTGGTAATTGCTTATAATTGAACTATGTGTCAAACATTGAAGATCTCAATGTCATTTTTGGGGAAAAAAATCTTAGAAAAATTCTTTACGAAATCACAATTTTTGACCAAGTTCTAGGTACACGTTTTTTAAGTTTTATGACATTTTAAGATCCTCTCCAGAGGCATGACTTTTTCTTTTTTGAATGGCACTCACCTCAAATGTCTCTCATGGTTTTTGTTCTGATAACAAATACCATGGTATTCCCAGTTTTTGTGTAAAATGGATGAGCAAGAATCATTCCTTTTGAACCTTACTATTTTCTGTTCACCAGATATTCTTTGTCCATAAATATCTTGTGGAGCTACTAATTCATTAGTTTTAAGTTGAATCTCAAAACCTGAAACAAAAAAGCAAAGGCACCTATAAGGAAAAGGACTTCTGGCAACGTAGCTGTTTCAGGACTTTAGTAATATACACAAGGGTCAAAATTGTAAGCAAGAAATAATTCCATGAAGACTGAGACTTATAGTAACACAAATAAGGTATTATTAGGAGAACAAAGGGCACCTGGCTGGCTCAGTCAGAAGAGCATGCAACACTTGATCCTGGGGTCATGAGTTTGAGCCCTATGCAGGTTGTAGAGATTGCTTAAATAAAACTTAAAAAGGAAAACAAAACAAAAAGGAACCAGTTCCTTCCTAAAATGCACATGACCAAATACTAACTTACAAGAAGAAATATGGACTGTCTTTCCCAAGAACAAGGAAAGTGTGAGAATACTGATAAAAAGTCAAAATAGTAATCTAAGGTATCTAGAAGATCACACCCCTCAACAAAGCAAAGTTTTGTTTTGCTTTTATTTGATTTTTACAAACGTAATATCCCCCAACCAGGACAGTTTCTCCCAGGGATTCTTGCCTTCCTGGTGTTCCCCCTGGATAGGTCCACTTTCCACTGTCTCCAGGTCCTCCTCTTGTTTCCACCGAGAGATCAGATATGGTGTGTGCAGTGGATACCCTGTTAATGCAGAAAGGCTTATCATGAGGGAAAACAATGAGGAACCATAAACATTTCCATGAGACAGGGTCAAAATTTTGCTCTTCTGATACTGTAATTATGGGCAAGAGAAAATTGAATTTCTACAAAATGTCTGTCAAAAGTTTTTTAAAGCAGGAGCAGGATGGGGGAGTAGACAATGACACAGCCTCTGATTTCTAGAACTGATGTGATATTCATTATCTAAACTTCAATATTAGAAGCTGGTCTGATAGAGCCAGGATATTTTGTTCTCCTATTGCACATTAATAATCT